CTGGATTTAGAAGCTTCTCAGAACTGGGATCCCAGGTTCAAAGGATATACTCCACTCCTGGTTCTTCTTTCTTGGTGGTATTGGGTTACCTTTATCTCTGTTTACTTGTTCAATCTCTTTTATATCTCAAAAGAGATTGACTCAAGACAAAACCTAATCCTGTAGACTGTATCCTCTTCATTAACACAACTATCTCTAATCCTGCATCATTAACATCATGGTGGTTAGGAATTAGGTCACATAAGACAATCGTGTCATATCATAAAATGGAGGATAATTACATTAGATCATAAAATGGAAGATAATTACATAATACTAAGAATCATGGCCCAACCAAATTGACATATATCTTTTGGGGACACAATTCAGTTCACAATAGTCATCAAACTGACATCTTTACTTTTAAAAGATTTAAAGAGCTCTCTTGCTCAGTGCAATCCTCTATATGCTTCATCTCATCATTTCAGTTGCCCTATATGCATGCTAGGGAACTCTGGTAGCATAGTGGCTAAGGCACTTGACTGCTAACCAGAAGGCTGGCGGTTCAAACCCACCAGCCACTCCTTGGAAGGAAGGTTGGGCAATCCTACTTCCATAGTGATACTGCCTCAGAAACCCAAGGAGGGGTCGCTATGAGTCAGGGCTGACTCGATGGCACATAACAACAACAACATATGCATGCTAAAGTTGGATAATAAAGATAGATGGAAGGCAGAAGAAGAACTGATGTGTTCAAACATTGGTGCTGACAAATTGTATTAAACATAGCATGGACTGCCTGAAGAACAAGCAAATCATTCTTAGAAGAAATATAACCAGATGCTCCTTAGAAGTGAAAATGGAGAGACTTTGACTTGATTACTTTGAACATGTCATAAGAACAGACCAATTTCTAGAAAATGACAGGATGGTTGGTAAAGTAGAAGGCCAATGAAAATGAGGGAACCTGTCAATGAGATGGACTGACACAATAGCTGCAGCAATGAACTTAAATATACCAATGACCAAGAGGATGGAGCAGGACTGGAGAACGTTTCTTGGTTATATATAGGTCTCCTTGAGTTGGAGTCCATTTGATGGCAACTAATAACATTTAATAAGTGAGAATTGTGATGGCTAGAGAGGTTAAGTGACTAGCCTAAGTACATACATTAACTAGAGGCGATTATGAATATTTTTCTCAAGTTCTTCTTCCCAGTTCAACCAAGAACTAGGTGAAATGGCAAACATTAGAGGGAGAATGAACTTTTATGGTGATTCTTTTTCCCAGATCTTGTTGTCATCTGTGTCCTTCTCCTTCCTTCCAAGCAAACAACCATTTGACATAAAAAGCATATTCAGAAGGACTTGTGTTGGTTCCCCTTTGATGCTATGCTATTTGGGAAGCAGGAACTAAGGAGCAGATAGTAAACCCAACAATTATTAAGAAATTAATATTATCCATTTTTTTCAGTGTTTGATAGTGTTCAAAATTCGTGACTATGCATTATCGCTGTGAGTTGGCAAAGCTATGAAGGCAGTAGAAGTCCACAATTCTTTATCCACAATTCCAAATCCCTCTTCTTCTTCCTGAACCCACAGACCATTTGCTACAATAAAATTTATTCAGGCTTATTTGGCTTGGTTGAGGCTTCCTTTGAGGCCTCATTATCTGGGGAGCTAACAGTAGGGAGCAGATGGTATGCTCCACAACTCTAAAGAAATTAATTTTATCTAGTGTTTGTGGAACGTTTATGGTTTACAAAGTGCTACACACATTTGATCCTCATGATAGCCCTGTGAGATTGTAAAAGTGGCAGAGTGTCCTCACATCTCCTCAAAAGGAGGAAGAGAGAGGGAGAAACACCATGATTAACATCAACCCAAGGCTGATTGCTATGAGGTGGAGGTCAGACCTACTTCCACTCTCCAAACTTTTGAACAGTTCTGGTACCAGTTCCTTCCACAGCTATATAGCTCTGCTTCTCTAGTAGGCTGACTAATTCATTACAGTGGCCACACAGAACTCACAGTCATATTCACATTTATGGAGTTCATTAGGGAAGTAACAGGTTACAATTCAGGATCAGAAAGAATTCAGGATACAGTTCTTCTATCAGGATATACCCTCTTCTGAGTTGTGCCTGCATGCAGGCCTTTCTCTCACCCCTCTGCCTGTCGCCTGTGGCACTCAGGCAAGTGTTATAACTTTTTAGTTGCACCAAATGTCCAGAGGCACCCTATTCCTCCAATATGCCTTGTGTCTGAATGTGCTTAGCTCTCTTGCACAGTTGGTTGGTACACTCACCATAGCCGCTTTCCTCCGTGGACTGGGAACCCCACTGCATTATCTCACACTGGTCTCCTAGTATTGCTGCCTCTGTTTCTCTTCTGCCACTTCTTGCTGTCTCCAATGTTATAGCTTTCTATCTGTCTTCTTTGTCTATGACGTTCTCAGTATAGGGTACCTAGGTCCAAAGGATATAATCTGCTCCCAGCTCTTCTTTTTGATGGTAATAGGTCTCCTCTGCACTTCTGGAATTGGCCTTTCTTTAAGCCTAGTAGGATGGTAAAACTGATCAGTTCCCTTGCTAGGGTTCCATATACATTATATTTGTATGTTCCCACTCCTGCAAGCATTCTATGCATTATTAGCAGGGTTTTAAATCCCCTTGGTGGTCCATGGAAATAGCAGTTTCCTTGAGGGCACGTGATACTGGCAACAAGGCCTGCTTTAACATCTGTCATAGAGGCAGAGAAATGATTCCCTCTCCCTTCTTGAACAAGGTAGATGGCTTCTGCACCTTGGACAACAATGAGATGTGGTGCTAAACAAGAGTGAGGTTAAGTTGTGCCTTGAACATTAGCTCCTTGTTCCAGAGAGCAAACCCAGCATCAGAAGTGGCTAGGAGGCCAATGTATATGCTTCAATGTTCTGTGTGGGGCTCAGCAGCAGAGAGAGAAGAAAGAAGCTATGGCAAGTTGAAGGATGTGTGGAGTGGAGAACTCTTGTTTGTTAGCACACAGGAGACATCTCCTGGGGATTATGGGCTTCATAGGGGCAGGTAGCCTCCCAACAATGGAGAGAATGAAAATCAGAGAAACTTCAGTACCATTAATACCAACTCAGTATAACCCCCAAGGCTGGTATACCCTAGAAAATATCAGTTACATTAAGAAAAAGCTAACGGCACAAATTTTCTAATTATACTGTGGTTATATATAAAACTATCCCTATTATTTAAAAAGATGCACTTAAATATTTAGAGGTAAAGGGCTAAGATGTATGTAATTTACCCTCAAATGGTTTAGGAAAAAATATGTGTATATATCTATCTTTATCTACCTATCTATCTACAGTTTTTTTTTTTTTTAATTTATCTACAGAAAGAGAGAGAGAAAGGGAGTGAGAAAGAATAAATGATGAAGCAGATTGGATAAAATATGAACAATAGGTGATTCTGGGTAAAGAGTATACATTATTTTTTTGTAGTTTTTTAGTATTTTATTGTGGTTTAAGTGAAAGTTTAAAAGGAAATTAGTTTTCTAGCCAGCGATTTATAAACAGTATGGTCTGTGGCGTTGACTATAGTTCCCACAATGTGTTAACACTCTTCTCATTTTCACCTTGGGTTCCCTGTCTCTGTTCACCCTGTTTTCCTGTCCTTTCCTGCTTTGTTAATGTTCCTTTTGGGCAAATGCTGCCCCTTTGGTCTCCTAGAGTTGGTTGTTCTGGGGAGCATGTCCCTTCCTGGTATTATTTTCACTCTCTAGGCCTGTCTTTACTACGTGGCTGAACTGTGATCTCTGGGAGTGGCTTCAGTTCTAAGTTAGAAGGATTGTTTTAGGGTCCTAGTCTCAGGGCTTCCACCAGTCTCTATCAGACTAGTAAGTCTAGTCTTCTTTATGCATTTTAATTTTGTTCTACCTTCTTCTTCCACTCCATCTGGTACTTTCTAAGTGATCCTAGTTAGAGTGGTCACAGGCTGTAGTCAGGTACCATCTAGTTCTTTGACTTTCAGGTTAGTGGAAGCTGTGTACTATTTTAATATTTTTGCAATGTTTTATAAGTTTTAAATTATTTCTGAACAAAAAGTTAATAAAGTAATAAAATTACGGTGAGCTACATGCAATAATTGGTGTTTGGACAAAGGAGGATGCCATCAGCTTCACCCAGGGTTGGGGCATCCATCAGGGAAAGCTTCACAGAGAAGCTTAAGGAGAAGCTCCTTATGGTTGATGTTGTGCCTGGGGTTCTAGAGCATCTGATCACAGGTGTGTGTGTGTGTGTGGGGGGAAGGACATAACGGACCGATCTACCCTGAGAGTGTGATTATGTGATATAACACTGTGTAGGTGACTGTCTATTTTGTCTATGCATGCCACACATCTTGACACAGCAGGTTTGCCCTTCCCTCAGGTGGTGATTGTCACCTCTGTGACCAGCCACAGCTCCCTGCTCCTCCAGCCATTCACACAGTCCTTCTCATTCTCAGATACCTTGAAAGGGAAGGTCGTCAGAGGGAGGAGCTGGTAACCTGGGGTAGGAAGGGTTGGGCAGGGTGGGCAGGGCTTGGCTGGGCTTGCATGGTTTGGCTCTCCCCATAAAGGGCTCAGCACTTCACCCCACACTAGGACCCTCTGCAGAGGAAGCTCTGAATGCCCTTCTGGCAGAGTGCTTCAGCTCCAGCATCTGTGAGACCCAAGGAGGGAGCTTTCTGTGCTGGTGAGGAAGAGGTTTCTGAGTCTGAAACAAGGTTTATATGTGCTGGAAGCCATGAAGCCAGCTATGATCTGGTCTTAGTGCAGGCATTGGACGTTTAAGGAAAAGAAGCCCATGGTCTGTTGGTTATTTATAGAGTGGGACAGTGGTGCAGGAGTTTGTAGATTGCCCAGAACCACATCACTTTTCATTTCAGGTTTCTTGGTTCAGAAAACTCAGAGAACAAAGGTGAGAGGTATAGAAAGGATGGTCCAGACACTGACTTTGTGCATCTTCTTTCTCCTTAGAGGAGAGGACAATGGCCAGACTCCACTTCCTGCTGTTCCTCTTGGTGGTCACCAGAGGGTGCAGTGCAGGTAAGTATCTCACAGGAACAGCAGTTTCTTTAAAGACTGTACTAGATCTTGGGTCAGACAGTCTTAGCAGAGTGAATCCCTGACCTTTGGGGTCTCACATTATAGACAATGAGGAGCTGCTGTGGGGGCAGGAGTTGGGAACTGGTGGACAAGAAAGATAGTGTGTCAATAGCTCCAGACTAGTAATGAGAAGTATTATCACATCCTCTTGCAGTGATCTTTCCTCCTGAGATGTTACAGAAAAAAAGCTCCTGTGCTTCTTCTGTTGATTCCCTGCCTAGAAGCTGCAAGGAAGTCAAAGAAAATTGCCCTCAAGCAGGTGGTGAGTAATGCAACAATGCCAGCATTCTTTCCTTGAAGGAACTCTTCAGCCAAACAGAACCCAGTCATGGAAATCAGGAGACATGTACCCACTACTACTGTCTGTCTCACTCTGGCTCCCACTCAAAGAGGTTTCCACTGGGAATTTTGAGGCTTTCTTATCCCACCCTAGTCACATCAGACATGATCTTCTGGACACAGGGAGAATGCAGTGTTCCTGGTGACATGTAGGGTGGTGGCAGGAACTGTGAAGGGTCTGAGATTTTACTCTACTTGTAAGCTCCCAATCAGTTAGCCTGTCACACTTTTATTGAGGCTGGTAGAAAACACTACCTTTGTCAGAGACAAAGAACTTCATGATTCACAGCACTTGCAGTAGTCTGTGTATCTGTAATTTCTTGTACCTGTTCTCTAAGTCCCAATTTCTATAGGATGATGCAAAGGGGTCCAGGTACATCAACACAGGTAGTGGGTTTGTCAAGCAGGCTCATAAATTTGTCTGGTAAAGAAACAGTAAGCGTTTTTTAGATTCACAGTTTATTACTTGCATAGACAGTAAAATCAAGGTCACCAAAGTGTCAGCTTCCTGCATTCCTTGTCTCACAAGGTGACTGTTCTGGTTACCTAGTGCTGCTCTGACAGGAAATATACCACAAATGGGATGGTCTTAACAAACAGGAGTTTATTCTTACAATCTGGAGGCTTTAAATCCAAGTTCAAAGTGCCAGGCTCTAGGGGCTGGGTGAAAGCCCCTCAACCTTGGGGTCCAACTCTGCCTCCTGTTCCCGGCCCACTAGAGCTAGAGGCATTTCTTCACTCAGACAGCTGCTGGCTGCTGAGGCTGAGAAGCCCCAAGGTTGACAAGCAAAAAGGCATAGTCTCTATGTTACCAAACCACATGGCAGGCCATTAATTCAATTCCATTATAAGTCCCAGAGTTTGTAGAGCATGGCAGGCTGCTGAGCAATGACATGGCTACATGCAGGATCCAAGCGTGCCATAGGCTGGAGACCATTCCCAAGGCTTCTCCTTAAATACAGGAAGCAGACCACATCCCAAAGGCAGCTACTCAGCTGCTTGTGGTAGATTCCACCATGGAGTTGATTGCCAGTCTCATCACAGGGAATAACTACTACCAGCTCCCCAGCCACTCAACCAGGCCCAGCTAAGTTGACACACAAACATAACTACCACAGTGACACAGAAACAAAAGTGCCAAATGAAAATACAACAAAAGTGTTGGGGCGCTATGCTTCTACGGAGTCAATCTGTGCTGCAGTTAAGCAATTTCATACCCTGCAGCTGTGCCCTAAGGGGCAGGGTGAGGCATGGGAGGCCTCAGGTCTTCTTAGAACTTGGGAGGTGATGGGGAGCTGTCTCATGACTGCTCCATTGGAAGATAGGGCGATAGATGAGAAATGGCCTTGGGAGCCTCTTCCCTCCCATGCTTGGGAGGATCCCATGCATTTTGTGAGTGTTAGATCAGCTGTGGCTATTCCTTGCCTATGTGGCCTATGCAGCCTATGCAGAGACATGCAAGGTGTGCTATGGTAGAGCACTTCCCTTACAGGCCTGTGTTGCTGGAGATGAATTGTGAGCTCTAGAATTTGCTCCTATAATGGGCAGTAACCAGGCCTTTGCTTTGTTCTGAGATGCATGCAGGTCTCCAGCTATAGACTGGAGACTGGCAATGTGGTAGGTGCTGATTTCTGGCCTCTCCTAGCCAGATGGAAATACTATCCAGATGGAAACACAATCTCTAATTTCTAAGGATGTTTGCTATACAAACATCTATGGCAAGACTGTTGAACAAAGGCAGAAAGTGCCTCTGTTCGTAAGATGAGCCAAAATGGTGGACACCTGAGGAGAATTATCTTCCCACAGGTGGATATGTGTGGGAGTCTTCAGGGAATACTCTGAATTCTCAGAGCCTTTCTGGTTATGGGCCCTGAGATGGGCCCTATGCTCTCAGACAGGGAAGCTCTGGGTGGTTTCCTCTGCAGATGGCTTGTATTTCCTCCGCACTGAGAATGGTGTCATCTACCAGACCTTCTGTGACATGACCACTGGAGGTGGCGGCTGGACCCTCGTGGCTAGTGTGCATGAGAACAGCATGCAGGGGAAATGTACAGTGGGTGATCGCTGGTCCAGTCAGCAGGGCAACAGAGCAGACTACCCAGAGGGAGACAACAACTGGGCCAACTACAACACTTTTGGATCTGCAGAGGCAGCCACAAGTGATGACTACAAGGTTTGTGCCACTTACCACCTACTTGGGAAATAGTGCAGTAAGTGTGGGATGGGGGATGGAGTTCTAGGGTTGAAGAAGAGAGAGTTGTTTGCATGTTGAATCCCAACTTCCTCCAGCCTTTTAGGGGTATGGGTAATGTTGGGAAATCATCATCTCTCAAGAGGGGTGTCTGAGCACTGCTGGCCTTCTGGTCATCTGGATCCCAGGGCTCTCAACGCAACTGAGAGCTGCGTATGTGCTGGTTCTTTGCTTCATGTGACCTTCAGGATGATCAGTGTTGATGTCTATTGCTCTGCAGAATCCTGGCTACTATGACATCCAGGCATGGGATCTGGGCATCTGGCATGTGCCCAACAAGTCCCCACTGCAGCTTTGGAGGAAGAGGTCCCTGCTGAGATACCGCACCCACACCGGCTTCTTCAAGAATATGGGGCATAATCTGTTTGGTGTCTACCAGGTATACAGGCTGCTGGGTTGGAGGCAGTTTGTTAGATGACAGAGAGTTAAGTGTTTGGGGTGCAGAATGAGTCTACTTTTTGTGGTCCCAGGTCACTACGCCAGGTCTGCAGTTGGTTGTTTCTTCTCCTTCTGGTTCACAGTGAGCTAATGTCCTCCCTGTCTCTGAAGAATTCTGAGCCAGCTGTATGGAAGATGAGGGTAGGGGAGAGTGGGACAAGGACAAGGGCCTTGCTGCTGCTGGAAAAACAGAAACATGGGGAAAGGAGTCACTTTTATTAAGACTGGTTTCTGAATGACAGGAGCTCTGGTAGCATAGTGCCTAAGGCACTTGACTGCTAACCAGAAGGCTGGCGGTTCAAACCCACCAGCCACTCCTCGGAAGGAAGGTTGGGCAA